ACACAACTGACCACGAGCTATAATGAACTGCACATTATCCACACAACTGACCACTAGCTATAATGCATTGCACATTATTCACATAGCTGACTACTAGCTATAATGCACTGTACATTATCCACACAAATGACCACGAGCTATAATGCACTGCACATTATCCACACAACTGACCACTAGCTATAATGCACTTCACATTATTCACATAGCTGACTACTAGCTATAATGCACTGTACATTATCCACACAACTGACCACGAGCTATAATGCACTGCACATTATTCACACAGCTGACCACTAGCTATAATGCACTGTACATTATCCACACAGCTGACCACTAGCTATAATACACTGTACACTATCCACACAACTGACCACTAGCATTAATGCACTGCACATTATCCACACAACTGACCACTAGCAATAATGCACTGTACATTATTCACATAGCTGACCACTAGCTATAATGCACTGTACTTTATTCACATAGCTGACCACTAGCTTTGAAGTGATAGAAACACTAGATATGTTTTGACAGTACTTGTGTGTACATGTATAATAATTGCCCATTTTAGCCTAACATAACAACAAACTGTACATCAATTTTGAGAGATTTATCAATTTCAGTTATTAATACACATCCATCTCAAAATATTGTATATTAAAAATAAATTTTAAAAACCAGAATAATGATCATAATTAATGATTTTCACTTTCTCCTGCCAGTCCGTCATCGGATCAATAAATATAACAACATAGGAATCGTATTTTTTTTACATTTTCCATCGGATCTATATAAATTAATTGAACTCACCAACTCATGCAGTCTGTCTCTTGGGCTGGATTGTTAAATGGTTTATGAATACTATTAAACCACGTGTGAAATATCTCGATTTCCAGGCGTGATAATATTTCCTTTATAGTCGCATTCTTTCAGATCGTACACAATAGACATGGCGCTCACTCACTCGCGGTAAAAAACGACTCCCTAACGGACACTGCTTGTAACTATTACTTCCGGCTCAAAGGTTCCAACATAGAAACATTTGCACGTGTCGTACGTGCGATTTTGAGGTCACGGGCAGGGCAAGTGTATGCCGGTTTTTGTGCATTATTGCAACTTACGTTCAGCAGTGTAAGGTTCAGTACTGACGAGAGTCTACGAGCATTATCTGACAGAAACAGATATGGTGAGTAAAACACGTGATTTCAGTTCGGTACTGATTCTGGGTAATTATTGATATTTTTAGTCATTGTACTGATTGATTACGTAGCCCACAGTCCCTCTATGATAGAGGGACTGTGCGTAGCCATTGACACAGAATTATATGTCTATTGTTTATCTAGTTAACGTACTTTAATTAAAATTGATTGTTGTAACGCAATTATTTCAGACAAATGCAAATTAATAGTATTACGTAGGGTGAATACACGTGTAAGTTTCTGGTAATCACAAACAAATGTCAAAGTACACTTACTGATATAATTAATGTTTACTTGTTAACATGAGCAATGTAATATCATGTGGTCATCGATCCTGGCATATCCTACTTGTTGTAAAATCATAGCTTGTAGAGAGTTGCGCTTGTTTCACGTTTCGATGCTGTGTTCTTTATAACGAAGGTAATTATTTATTACATAATACATGGATTAATAATAGTTTCTTTTGCTTTGCAGAACTATTTAATAGGTGTTTATTTGTATTTGTTTTCAAGAAATCTACCCCCTCCATTTTATTTTATCTGAGTGTCATGGAGTCTTTTGAGTTCCAAAAATAGAAAAATTCAATTAAATATCTCATAAAATAGCTGGTATAGTGAGAGTGTTGCTTGGTAACAGCTGTGTCCTACATGTATGTGCACAAAACATTTTATGGGTCATGACTTGATTCAGCCATGCAAATTCAAATGGTAATCCAAAGTCAGCTGAACAATAACAATGCACTACTTTCTTGTATTCAAGTTCATTATTATTACTAAAGCAAGTATTTATTTTTCTAGGCAGAGTTCAGAACAGAGTATGACACATTTGGTTCTCTAGAGGTGCCCAGTGATAAATATTATGGTGCCAATACAGCCAGGTCCATTCGCAATTTTCCAATTGGTGGCCCTTCAGAAAGAATGCCTGTAAGTAAATTTTTTTCAATTTTCATTAAATGGGAATAGATCTAATGACAAAACAAGTTCAGTAACATTTAGTAACACTGATTGTTATTTTTATTCACTCTGATAATACAAAACATATATTATGTATTTCTATGTAGATTCCTCTGATCAAGGCATTTGGTATCCTAAAACGTGCGGCAGCAGAAATTAACAAAGAGTACGGTCTAAACAACGAAATAGCTGACTATATTGTAAAAGCATCAGACGAGGTAAATCTAAATCTTAACGATTGGCATCAAGTATGAATGCAATATTAGTAATAATATTGAATGCTGTTTTGTTTGAAGCTCAAATATACAAGATGAAAACTAATAATGTCTGTCTTCAGTACAATATCAACACATATTGTTATCTTATCATTTAGATTACTTGAGCAGAGCATTTATTTTTTGTGCATGTAGTCAGTGAAAATAAATAAAATATTGAAAACATAAACAGAGCAGGTAACTTTAAAAACTTGCCTGTCCTGCTAAAAATTTACCAGCCCTGTTTATGTTTTCAATATTTTATTTATTTTCAATCGTTCCACTATATTTCATTTAATCATTGTCACTGGAGTAATCATCCACTTGAATTCAGTTTTCCATGATAGGACAATTTTCTGTATTCTTCAGTTTTATCATACACCCTATTCGCTTCTTTGGAGTTACATTTTAATTTTTGTTTCTTTGCTGGAGGGTTGATTCGTAAAAAAATGACTCAACATTTTCAAAATACAGTGTAAAAACATCGAGCAGAACTATAAGTCTGAAAAGGTTGTGTCAACTGGAACTCTCGCATATTGTGAGAATTCACTAAAATCACGTATAGTATGAGAGTTTACTGAAATTACACATAGTGTGAGAGCTCAAATCATGCATAGTCTGATGGTTTGCTAAATGTTGTTTATACCTATTTTACATGTTGCACGTCTCAAAACGGTCGCATCAGACCTCTAGGTACATAATTTTGACAACACTCATACATCCATAGTCATTTTGTGATTTTTGTAAAAAGTATTTTTTTTTATTTTCTCAAAAAATCTACCTGACCACAGTTAACTTGAGATTTTCACCAGCCTCACTGAATATTTACCCATGCCAGGCATACAGGCTAGGCAGTAATTTTAAACACTGATGTTACAGTTGTACTTTGTTTTTTCAGGATATTCTTTGTTTTAAATATCTTAAATGAATTAACAATGATAGAAGATTTGATCTGTCTGTGAAATGGAAGTTTTTCTAGTTTTGAATTAATTGTAATTCAAGTTTAAAAGCCATAGTTTTTGTGATGCATATTGTGCTCATTACTGTAGGTTATTGATGGGAAGTTGAATGACCATTTCCCATTAGTAATATGGCAGACAGGATCTGGGACTCAGACCAACATGAATGTAAACGAGGTGATAAGCAATAGAGCTATAGAGATGATGGGAGGAGAAATTGGTAGCAAAAAACCTGTTCATCCTAATGACCATGTCAATAAAAGCCAGGTATGAAACAAATATTTGTGGAATGTACAGGTAATTTACTTTTGACCCCAACAGACCCATATATATTGTCAGGCTATAAAAAATGTCTATCCACTCACAGATGTTACTATGGTTACATATTTGCATTCATGGTGGAGTGCTCTTTTGTAGTGTTTCTGCCTAGTTTACTTGTGAGACATTTCCTCTGTTATGTTGTCAATATTTGATTATATTCCTGCGATTATTTAAAAAATTAACATCTGCCAGGAAATTTAACAAAAACGTAATAAATTTAGAAATTGAAATTTCTCCCCAACTGATCAATCAACTCACAAAACTGTTGTATTTCATTCTTTTATAATATATAGAGTTCCAATGATACATTTCCAACTGCTATGCATATTGCAGTAGCACAAGAAATAGATACAAGACTCTTACCAGGATTGCAAATACTTCATGATGGCTTGCTTGAGAAATCCAAGGCATTCAAAGATATTGTAAAGATTGGTAGAACCCACATGCAGGTGAGAAGTATTGTTCATGTCATAAGAAAGTAGTGACAATAGATGTTTGGTACGTAGTGTAACCATTTGCACTAACCCAAATATGGGGAAAATCACACACAAAAGATTTTGTTTATGAAATTATAAATATTTCTATGAATATTTATTTTAAACCATGATGGGTATTGTATGGCTAAAATAATGATATACGATTGAAACATGCTCCAGTACTGAACAACAATTTCAGCCACAGGGCAGATTTTAACTACTGCATGTTCACAAACAATAGAGGCATTGTTATTTATACTGGTGAGTACATTGTTGTATGCTGTAGTTGGTACCAAACAAAATGATCCATATTAATAGAAATCAGACCACCAAACAAACCGGCAATGCCACACCTATTATGTGTTAATTAAGGTAGCGAGAGGGGAAACATAATTTATAGTTTAATGGAGTTTAGGACTTTCCTCACCAGTTACTAAGCATGCAGTTATGGCAATGTATACGTTTTCAGAAAGCTGAGATATAGCAGAATACGATCATATATGTTTCGTCTTGATATTTGCTCAGGGGATTAAGTTACGATCGTTCCCGTTAACCTCCTAAACGGAGAGTTTTTTTGCGGGATTGGCCGTTTCTCGGTGTTCCTTTTTTCTATGTTTCTG